TTAACTAGATGCCTTAGTTTTTGTTTCAAAAAAAAAAAAAAAAAGAAAGGTGAAACAGATTTAAGTTTGATGCGCCACTCAATTACGCACCGTTTTCCGGTTTGCGGCCGGAAAACCGTCTCGAGGGGGGGCACCCGGAGACATTCAGTCTCGTGTCGCTGGCTATGGGAAGTGGGGGGAGCGCTTTTCTGAGCTTCGGGTAGATGGCGCCTCTAAAACTTCGCGTAATAAAAGTCAACAATCTCAGGCTTTTGACGCGTCTGTTCACGTTTTCACGACAACATTTAAAACAATTAGCCTAAAATCGAGCAGACCCTTACTGAGCTTGCTAACTCAATACACTTTCAACCAGTTCACACCCCGCGAGTAGTTTTCTTGGCCGACACAAAAGGCTGCTGGACAGAAAATAGTCCCCTTACCTCTTCGTGATTTCTCCGGACACTCGAGACATTTTAAAAACTCAAAACGAAAGTGAGACGCACCAGATTCTTTTAACATTAAAATCATTTCACGGCCCCTTTAAAGGGGTCAAGAAACGTTATCGGGTTGGAACGTTCATGAACCTTGCCGGTGCGTACTGGTCCCAGCCTGGCACAAGTACAGGGTGTCACAAAAGAAAATTTACACGGTCTTTTTTACCGCAAAAATAAACTAGGCCTCGCCGAACGCTCATTCTCCGCCCAAAGGTAGAGCTAGACGTCACAACCAGATGCCAAAGTTTCAGGCCGATCCGATAACTTAATCAAAAGTTATAAGCGATTTTCTGAAAAGTTCAATGGGAAAATGGCGGCCGACGGAGTTTTCAAACACATGGGGCTCTATGACACCAGAAACCGAAAACGGGCGAAAATGGGCTCCATTTTCCCATTGAGATTTTCAGAAAATCACTAATAACGTTTGATTAACTTATCGGATGGGGCTGAAACTTTGGCATCTGGTTGTGACCTCTAGCGTTACCTTTGGGCGGCGAATGAGGGTTCGGCGAGGCCTAGTTTATTTTTGCGGTAAAAAAGACCGTGTAAATTTTTTTTTTGTGACACCCTGTATATTCTCACAGGCCGCCACTGATTCGGAAACATCTTTGTCGCGGTGAAATTGTGAAATCGCGAAAGTAAAAGGGGACTGCTTCTTTCAGTCCTGCCTTCACAAAGCTGGGTAACGTGATTGCGGAATCGAAATCACCCGACTCTCGGCAGTCGAGCGCGGCTCATGGATTGCACGAGAATTACGTGAGCACTCGACTTCAGCTCGTAACAATCAATGCCTCGGCGGGCACTCGGGTTATGGCTCGTGTCCAACCACTGAGGTGATCAGGATAGCCCAACTCGGACAATGCCTGAGCCCCAGCACGGGTTCTCTACTTTGTCAACCCCAGCACGTGGGTATGATTAACGTTGAAGGTATAGGATAGGCACCAGGCCACCTGGCCGCTTGTTCTGGCTCCGAGTTGAGGGGATAGAGGATGCTCATATTTTTCGAATTTTATTGGCGACTGCCATTGCCTAGAAAGAACAACTAAGGCAAGTTTATTCAGTTATTAACGTTAGGGAGTGGTTCTAAGTAGTATTTAGCAAAAGTAGAAAAATCGTTTCAATGCTCCTTTAGGATGCGCCTTAGATGGCCACTTCGAAGAGAGGAACTCCCGATAATTCACCGCTTCTTTTCGTGCAGGTAAGATATCGGGCTTGGACAATCGGAAGGCAATATGAGGAAACATAATTCAAAATCATAAATTAATTTTCTTTTGTTTTAAGGCGGGTTGATATTATGGTAAACCCTTCCTTTCTAATAAATTTACAGGTTCAATATAAGATACAGTGAAATTCCAATTAGCATTTGATAAGCGGTTGCTGTAATGGAACATGGAATGCAAGCTTCCAAATATGTCGCGAAAATGTGGAAGGTACAATGTGTTTTTTTTCTTCTCTGCTTTATTACATACGAATAAAATAATTCAGTTTGCACGGAAAAATTGACTAGGTGCCGTACATTAAAAAGTGAAGTAATATATAATTTCTGTGTTTATGCAAATAAAGAATATATATATATATATATATATAATTGCAACAATACTTAAAAAAACGAGTTACACAACACGTTGTGTTGTGTTCGTCCCCTTCTGTGTTTCTGAGTCTCGCGTTTTTTTACCATATATATATAGATATATATGTAGGGTGTTTCAGAGAACGCAGGGCAAATCGCTTTTGCGAAAACTACTCATCGCAACAAAAGAAGGCTTGTGGCGTTTTGGTCCTGGGCCTGGGGCCCCATTTAGGGAAATTAGGTAACTCCAGAATAATTAAGTTGTTGATTATTTTTACGTAATTAATGTTCTTAATATTGTGTTTAAGAGCATGGTTTAAATTAGAAAATTGCTCAGCATCATCGAAAAACACTAAATCAACAAATTGCAGAACGATAGAAGGCAGGCGAAGCATTTTACGGCTTTCTGAAAAACCGCACAAAATCGACTGTTTTTTTTTAGTTTCGGTTTGCTATCGGAGCGCATCTCAACCCTGGCGGCACCGCGCCCAAGTGGAGAGATAGTGCAACCAACCTCTGCTGCGTCGCGCGATGACAGCGCAGCAGAGGTTGGTTGCACTATCTCTCCACGGGGCGACGAGAGCGCGAAAGAAGAGACGGCGGAAAAAAACCATGCGAGACCGGATGGGCGATTGATGTAACTAAAGCAAGGGTGCAGGCCAGCTGGTTCAATACTGAGATTGGAGTTTTTTGCCTGTCCTACGTCCCTTCTTTTCCCCGGCTCCAGGGTTACAATGTCATGATTGAGGCAGAGTACTTTGTGTCGGGTGGCCGCTTGCGCCACCTAGCTCACGCATACTCAGTTACGGTACTCAGTTTAGTTTCGGTTTCGAAAGGGGACCAACACTGGTCCTTTGGCGCAGGCTTGGCGCAGATTACCCATATTTTGGCGAAATGTAGCAGGATGTAGCAAGGTTAGCCCCTTGGCGAAGTTTGGCGCAATTGGCGCAGCAATCACATCACTGGATTTCTGTATATGGGATTTGTCTCGGATCTTGTATGAGGAAGCGGCGCACCCTTGTGGTGGTAGCTGGCAATGGGCAGGCAATACCACTATACAGGAGGTACGCTGTAGCCGACCATTACCGCCTAGAACACAAGGCCTGCACATGACGTCATTGATCGCCATCACTAGTGGATTTGCGCAACTTTGACTAGCTTGCTTCCGCATCGCCGCCATGAGCGTCGTGCAGCGTCTCGCAACGAGCGTGGCGCTGGTTGCGCTGAAGCCAGGACAAGCGTGTTTGCCGCTTTGCGGTCTCTCTTTTCGACCTCCATCATGTTTGCCATTTGAGACGTTTCTGGCGTCCACGAACGATAACGTCTTGCGTGGGCCTTGTCTTCAATAGGTGATGTTGAATTAGCATCCTATAGGAGGTATCCACTGGACGCCATATTTGAGGGCGATGTTTAGAGCGCATGCTCAGAACGAGCTCACATTAATAGCCTGCTAAGACCGGCAACCTTGATGGTGCTAAATGCACGCTCCAAAAGGACTGCGGAAGCTCGCCGTCAGCACGCGCTCAGCAGCAGCGCACACGGATATGGCCGCCAGTGAATACTCCCTATTGTGCCGGCATGTGCGCACGATTATCCGAGCAGACGATCCTGCACGCCGTATGGCTAGACCTTGGAATGTGTGGGCAGCCCGAATAACGCTACTATCACTTAAGGTCAGTTCAGAAGGGTCACTTGAAGAACACGTGAAGCGACACTTGACAGCCATGTGAACTGCGGCGCTCCTCTTCCGCCCGTTTTTTCTGCCGGTTGGAAAGTTTCCCTACGCTAAGGTCCGCGTAAACGGGAAGGGGAGGGACACGAGAGCGCGGTAAATCAGCCGGACAGTTCACAGGCTCTCCATTGGCAGGTGGCGTGTGACGTGAAATCTGACAATCAGCGACGTGAAAAAAACAAAAAAGACAAACGAGACCAGGAGGAAAGGCGGGATGTTAGCCTGCTGAATGTCCCAACGAAAGACGGACTGCCGGATTTGAACTTTTACTTTATATTGCGGAAAAGTGTCGCCTCACTCGTTCTGAAGTATCCTGGGTGGCCTCTTTATGACGACGGGTTGAGGAAGATATCGTAGACAAGGTACAGATGAGGCATGGGAGCGGAATCGCGAGCGGATGAGAAAATGGCATGAAAATCCCCAAAATTGTGTTCTGGAGGCGGCGCAGAAACGACAAGTACTTCACAGTCATCAGCGAAACACGCGAGCACCAAGCTGCTGTCGCTGTGACTCTAGTTACGCGACAGCGGAAATGCCCTCAACACTTTTGCACAATGTTCGTTGTCAAGGATTTCAAATAAAAGCTCGGTAACTGATCTGAATGTTCTTGTACTAACCGGAGAAAGGTTTTGACATATTTATTACATTTCATTCTTTTTATATATTCGCTCTTATAATCAAGCTCAGGAAAAAATGCACCAAACCTTTCCCATGGAAATGAATTGCCGGACGTCAGGTTTATGTTGGTTGTTGTATGTTTCAATTGGAAACCGCGCACTATCACCACATGATCCTCTAGCATAGACATGCTAAAGCACAGGAAGCTCTAGCAATCTATAGCTCAATTACTTTTATGATTACGATTACACCTAATTAATTTGCTGAACATTTTTAAGATTTATTTGTTAACTTTTCAGGAGGCGATAAAACAATAGATTGGTATTTTTATTTCATTGCTTTTCACGGAAGAAAGTGTATCTTTTGCAAGCACCAAAAAGGAGCTATATATTCCTGGCCATGAACACTTAGGTATATCGAAGCAAAAACAAAATTACGACCAAAGTATAAAGAGTGTGCTACAGCCGCATATTTCTTTACAACAAATGAGAGATGGAGTAAACGTCTGAAAGCGAATGACAAGGCTACATGACCAAAAGGCCTAGAAAAACACAACTGAGTCTCGTAAAAAGAAAACAATTTTATTACAACTTCCACGTCTTCATCGAGGCGGTGGCACCTCTGCATTTCCTAAGTTGAAACGGGCTTTTTATGGATGTTACCGTCGTTGCAGAACCTACATACGCAGTTTCCTTTGCTGTCGCATTTCTGCGTAAAAAATACGTGTATTTTGTGAGCGAGTTTTCCCCATATGAAGCCACACAGCGCGCAAAATACGATTGCAAACTTTATGCAAATATACTCAATGTCAACGCGCTAAACATAAAAAAAAATTATATAATTATGGACATGCCAATGGAATTCCGGATTACAATATACTTCAGCACAGATTTCAGCTTTCACGTCACGAATTTCTTGGAACGTAATCAAAACGCCATTCAAATACGATACACTTCTGCGTCGTAGAGCCACGTTAAGAACATGTTTAGGTCCATCCTTTTACATTTTAGTGAAAAACAACTCACCGCCCCAAAAGCGCACGGCATTCCTTGTGGCAGAGTAACTCGTTCATAATTACGGTTCCGAACATTCAAACCACCAGCGAACACTGTATCTGGTCCAGGAGGTCGATAAGTGCAAATGGCATTGCAATCACGAGGCGTCACAGTGACCTGAAAGATTATTAAAAAAAAACCATCAATTTAGTTTTTCTGGTTAAGTAAAAACAAACATTATAAAACACTTCCTTTTTTCAGGACCGATTAGGTTTTTGCCTTTATTGTATTTTGATTTGCTTTCTATTGTTTTAGAGCCGCTTTATATACACGTAGGGGACGCTAAATCGACTTATGCTTCCTCGTGCGGTCTGAATGACGTGCAAGTCTGCGGAAAGCCTCTGCCGGGCGGGCGTATTCTTAATATGCAGAAGGCAGACGCGTTGGCAACGGCGCACGCGCTGGATTGGCTGATTTTTGAAGATCACGCTACTACGTCAGACCTAGCAACGCGTGTGCTCCAGACCGTTCTGTCTCTTTTTTCGCAGTATTTGACATAGTTGTAAGTGCCTCATCTCTTTAGCACAGCTAGGAGTCGGAGTAGCAGCAGTCGGAGTAGCATGAGTAGCTGCATCGCTTTACACACAACGCAGAGCAAGAATAGTCACACCAACACGACCCAAGCCAGCCTCGCTAAACGCTGCCCGACCGTCCTCCTGGCCCTCTGTGACCGACAAGGCGACCCTAGGCCCCTGCCTAGGGTCGCTTTGTTCTAGTACACCCTACCGAGGTCATCTCCGGCGATGGGAGGAGCGTGTTCCGAAACCAAGACCACTCAGCCAATAGCAAGCGAAGGATCCTCGCGCCTCCTACCGGTGGAACCCATCCAGCCCGGGGTACGATTCAATCCAGCGAGCGCGCGTTCGAGGCGACGACCTGACACATCTATCCCACGAGAAAAAAACAAAAAAAAAAAAAAAAAAAAAAACGACTTATAGTGCGCTGCCTTTGGGACGAATATTGCAATGACATTTTCTCTCTCGGCAAAAAAAAAAAAAAAAAAAAATTGGATTACTCTTTTTTGTTTTATCATTTACAAAAGCATACGCATTTTGTAATAACAGATTTTGCAATCTCAACGAAATTTCGCGTTTATATTGACCACATGTCGTCGTGGTTACCGGAACATTGTTCCTTCCATCGCCGGAAATGGCCTCGGTGTGTTCGATCTTTGACTGTATTTTTTAATACAAGAATCGGCCACGCATCGTTATGATTTATAGATTTTTAGGATGCTTAGAGCCCACAGAGTGAGTTATCGCCATATTTAGGCGATATCAGAAACCTCCCCGGAGCGCCTTTAAGAGCTTGCTTCCGCGTCCACCACGGGTACGTTATAGACATCAATGAGAAAAAATGTAACCTCCCTTTCGGTGTTATTCTACATGGTGAAGATCGAAAATGTGTGAGCATAAAGGCCCGTTTACACACTTGCAACCGAGTGCGACTAAGAGAGACGAGACTTGTAGAAACCTCTTAAAATTTCTTAGGACGAGGGAACTTACTGGCACTTTGGCGCCATCAATGCGGTGACCCTGGAACTGCATTTCACAATAACGAAGGTTTTACGGTATTTCCGAAGTCAGATGTGCGTAGTACCTATAAGAAAGGCTGGTTTATAACGTTGACAAAACTTTTCAAGCCAAGAAAGAAAGGATAATGCGCGAGAGAAATAGAAAATAGGCCGGACAGCCAATCCATTAAATGGTACCAGTGTGTCCTCTCGTTGCAAGAGGTTTTAAGGAACCCAATTTTAAGAGGTCGCAAGAGTGTGAACGGGCCTTTAGATTCTCCAATCAGAGACCGGTGCTGAGACGTTTCGTCTGTCTGACTACACAGTACATACTGCCAATTAAAGCTCGGCGCAATAACGTCATTGGAAATTCTGCACAAAGAGCATGCAAACTTCCCTTCCGTATTGTTCAGTGTCTCGTCATAGCCGATCTGGACGGCGCCCGGCAGCTTATAGCTGCTTTCTCGCGGAGTAAGACCATGGGGCCAATCAGGGCCCTTGATTGGCCTTTTATGACGCACCTCACTAATTCGCGCGCCGACGGCGAGTTAAAACAATCGCGCCAGTGTTTCGCGCGTACAGAGATGCCACCTCGGATATAGAAATGACGCCTCGAGAAATTTAGACGCTTTTAGCTCTTCACCACGCGCTGTTGGAAATTTGTATTTGCCACCAGAACTAATTAGAAATGCAAATAAATGCAAAGGTGCAAGCGAGCTGGACAATAATGACGAAAATAATCCCTGGAGAAGGGGAACAAGAGGGACAAAGGACAAACATAAACATATGTTTGTCCTTTCTCCCTCTTGTTCCCCTTCTCCATGGATTATTTTCGTCACCAGAACTATCCTCCTTTTGTTTACTGCCAGGTATTTATCGCCAGCTGCGCCCAGCGTGTCGCCTTGTAATGTGATGGCGCAGTGTTGCCGCGAAGCGTCGGGTGGATTAACACGAGCCCCAGTGAGCCTTTTGTTTACCGCCAAATATATATCGTTCAGCGGCACTGCTTGTGTCGCCTTGGAATTCTTCGCCACAGGTCCGCCACGTACCTCCAAAAAGGGCAACCCCGTCGCCGTCCTCGGTGTGAGCTACCTTCTTATCTCAAACAACAAGCTCGAAAGGGTCATTTCGTCGCCTCCTGCTGGCGAAAGTGCAGGACGTCCAATAGGCCAATCAGTGCTTTCGATTTGCTCCATGGTTTTACTACGTGGGCAAGCGGCAATACGCCGCCCGGCAACGCGCTCTGACAACGCAGTAGTTGGACGTGCTCTATATATATTGAAGCTGACGGCCGTTTCCTTCACATTGATCGCTACGTAAGTTGAGGTTTTACGACAGGTCAATCAAAACGCAAGGCGTGTTGTACCGCAGCGAAGGCGGGAAGCCCAAGCTCATGGCATTGGCAGCTACCTTCAACGCACTAGAGCTTGTGCCGCCTAGATATGCCCTATCGAGCAAGCATGCAGCTCGAGCTTGCAGCCTTTCCTGCGGTACATCTAAGGCAAAATATGTGTCGGTCGTATTCTCAAGAGGCCTAGAAGTGACGGCCATTAAATCCCTCACTCAAAAATATTGAATAAATTGCGCACGTCTTTTTTTTTTCTGCACGTAGCCTGAGTTAAATGGTAACGCTTGTCGCGTTTACAACGGCGTGACTAATGAAACATCGGCGCGCTGCGCCTACAGTTCAAGCTAAGCAAACAGTTCAAACTAAGCCTCTGCACGGATCGAGGATAGATGACACGCTCGTCATGTTATCGCTACGCGCAGAAGCTCAAGCCAACGCTCGACAACGCGCTGATTCGGACAGTGTAGACTATTAGCAACTGCGGATGGAGCCATGCCGCCCATCGTAAGAAAAATATGTGAAGTAGGAAAGCTAACAGGCTACCACTTTTGCGCGTTTTGTTTTTTCCCCAAAATGAACGCGGTTTTGCGGCCAAAATAGAAAGAAAGTGTAAGAAGATTAAATGCAAGCCGTGAAATGTGCAAATAGTGGGGACCAAAGTTAAGGTGCTCCAAGCAGCGTAACAAGCTCGGCGTGGTGCTCCAAGCAGCGTAACAAGCTCGGCGTGCCTGTCCCCAACCGTCGCCAACTGATGCTTGTGCTTCGTCGGACTATAAACTCGCATAGAGTCTTGCTCATTTAACTGTATAAAAGTAGTCGTTCGACTCTCGAAAAACTTTCCCGCTTGAGCAGGACTACATGAGGTTTCCTCATCTATGTTAGCCCTCAATATATAGGGTTCCGAGATTTATACCCGGGGCGTAACTATATCAAACGCACGTGCCTGTTTCCTTGACCACTTACCTCTGTTAGCTCACCAAGAGTAGTGTTCTTACAAAGATCCTTAATCTTTTGCTCACAGTTCGGGGCAAGGTTTTCGGCACCTTTGATTTCTGGAACAAATATTAACAAAAGAAACACGCAAGCTTCAACATAATCGAAGTGATTTTTTAGCAGCTTTCGCCAATCAATGTCAACATCATTATCAACATGTTAGACACGATATGCATGTGTTGTAATTAGGTTAATTATGAAGGCAGTCCACTGAGTTAGTGCATATGGCATAGTGATTTTACTTTTGGCTGTGGAACTCGAATGAAAGATGGAAGGGTAGTTATGAGCGGCGATAACGGCCGACGCCGGCCTTGGTTGCTCGGTATCACTTGCTCCCACGGACTACCGTTTTAATGAGCCTACCGTACCAGCATTTCACTAGATGAGGCGTGTAGTTCTGCTGCATTGTGACATTGCTGGACAATTGTGCCAGCTTGAAGAATTTAGGAAGCCGCTCGAAAAAGCATGGGCCCTCAGGGAAGGGGGGAGGTATAGGGCCGTATTTGAATTCCCACCTCTGACTCTTGAAGTTAGACCGATACAGCAAAGCGCTAATTGTAGGCGAGGTGCTGCGCGAAGATGTCGCCCTTCAGCACTTACCCCACCAGCTGCACTTCGCCGGAGGCATGGTTCTTATGGCCGTGCCGGGGCGAATGGGGCGAGACCCCTGTCATCACTGCCGGACGACGTCACTACTCTCCGCCCAAATTAACCGAATGTCGCACCATTGTGCATGACCGAGCCGACTGTGTTCGCTCTCACGGCCGATTTGTGGGACAATGTTTAACTCAGGACCAGAACAATTTGTTCATGAATGAAGATAAGGCGGAAAGTTTGGCAGCGCCAGCGAGGGAGTCTGAGAAATACAACACGACTGACTAGGCCGACGAGCGTGGCACTGCAGCCTTGAAAGTAAGCGAGCGTACACTGACGCAACTGTGGATTTCAGGAGCTCCTTCTCCGACAGTCGATTGCCCATCGGCAACTCTGGACGAGAAAAACAGTTCAGGTTTTCCACCGGCGTCTGGCGACGAGCCCAAGTTTTCAGGGATAAATGTCAACGCGACTTCAGCAAAGCGCCGCCATGACGACCTTGCTGAGGCCTCGAGCTGCAGTGGTATGTAACGTCGGGAAAGCGCAACGGCAGCCACGATTGTCGTCACTGTAACACCGCAACATGGGCGTACTAACCGGAGGGGGGGGGGGGGCAGGCCCCCCCCTCAGCTTTCAGCGCGTGGGGGGGGGGGCAAGTCATGTGTTTTGCCCCCCCCCCCCTGAAACAGCTGCCACTAGGGCAGGGCAAACACTGTCCGGCGGCGCCCAAGGCATATCAAGGGCACCGCCCCCCACCCTAGGGGGGGGAGAGTCTGGTTTGCCCCCCCCCCCCCTCAAAAACAAGTTGGTACGTCACTGCATGGCAACAAACTGTCCAGTTGGCTACTGTGCACGACGACCTCCCTGTACGACGCCATGCGCTCTGCCTGGTTCTGATGCAACGTCTGAACTTCAAGATCCTGCGTGACTGGCGACCCTAAATCTGAGGGGGCTCAGACCGAAGGTAACGGCCAGTGTATCGTCTAGTCCAAGAGCAGGACCTAGACGTAGTCGTGTTGCAAAGGGCAACTCCGGCCAAAACTCAAAATAAAATAAATTACTGGTATCGCTGTAGTGACACCAAATACGACCCCAGCCAAAATATTACGTCCGTGGGACGCCGCATTTTCAAATAATGCCGATAATAAAAATGCGACCCGCCACGAGCCGCCGCTCCTTAGGTCAGCGGGTTGCCGATCGCTAAAGCAACATTGGGCCGTGACGTCAGTATCGTTCTCTTTTTTTTCCTCCGGTCCGGGCGTTGCGCGCTTCTTTGAGCCACTACCACCGCTTCTTCGGCTTGTGATTGACGTGTTTAGTCGTTGCTTTTATCTGTAGTCCGTGTAGCTTCGGTATAGCCTTTTGTTTGTTTGCTTGTGAGGACTCAAAGGCTCGTTTTAGCGAGCAACTCGGAGCGCCCAAGACTGCCCAGCTGTTCCTCGAAAGATGTCGAGTGCAACTATTAGCGCTGTGGGCTGCTCAAACTAGGGTGCCTCCATGTGCTCCCTAGCTCAAACAACCCACTGCGCAACACGGAGGTGCTTTTTCACAAGTTTCCAACGGACCGGAAATTGGAGAAGGTGTGGATGAACGCTAATTGACGATTGGACTTTGGACTTCGGCTTTTACGCGCCCGAGGAAAAAAGAACAAGAAAACAGACGTGTGCAGCCCAGCACACGTGTGTTCGGGCGCCGTGGCCCACGCCGGAGAGCCTCAAAGCTTCGTGTCTGAAACTGGCCCGCAGCGCGAAAGCGAGAGGGCCCTCAGTACTGTACGTGGCAGCGCGGCGTAGAGCAACGCCGCTCCATCCACCGAGCCCCGATGGCAATGTAGGCCTAGTGACGAGTACAGAAGACCGTACACACGGCGACAGCCGCCAAGTACGGTACCGAACGAGTTCACTCGTTCTCCAGTCGCTAGCTTCTGGGTATACAAGCGACGAGTGCGGCATAGCGCACGCACGGCGGCGGCCGCCGAGTACGGCACCGAACGAGTTCACGGGTTTTCCAGTCGCTAGCTTGTGGGTATACACACCAACTCTTGCTACATATGCTGGATAACTACCACGTATACGGAATTAAAACAAAATGAGTTTACCTCCTATCTTTAGACGGCTAGCGCAACAGAGGTAGGTGCCGGTCGGCCTGCGTGCTCGTTGAACGAGAACGATCCTGACGTTACGTTCACATAGCGGCTGATTTCCAGTGTTGCCGGGGCCTCGAGCGGCTAGTTTCGGTTTTGTTGGCCGCGCCCCAAACAAAACTTTGAGGCGTCGATATCTTTAAAACTACGCACAATAAGGAAAAAAAATTACACCTCGCAATTCAGGGACGCCTGACTGCACTAAAAACAGTCATAATCCCAAAATCGAAAGTATGGACCGGAGTTGCCCTTTAAGGCGGAGAGTGAGGAGCTTACGGCAAGCTTTGGTTTCCTGTCTTACTTCGATCTGTTTATTCTTCAAATTCGGGGTGTTTTTATGACTATTTTTTAACCATTTATTCTAGATTTTTCGGTGTCTTTTCTGGGTGTGCTACAAGAAATCGGCGTTGATCAAGGCTTTTCTTTGGAGTTGACATGAAAGGGGGTGAGATTTTCCAACCTTTAGGAAACATACGGGTAACCCAAATATCTGGAAAACGTCCGGCTACCAATAAGTGAACCAAACGGGACGATAGGTATTGCTTTCGAAGAAATAGGCAGCCTCACGAAAAGCTGTGTTCTGAGTGAATACAAGAAAGTTGTGGATACAATTATTCTGTAAATCGCGTTTTTTGTTCAGAACAGTACTATTCGGGGTCTTTGTTTGCTTTCCAGAAAAAAAAAAAAAAAACTTGGCCGTTATTTATATTATCTTATCGGTATTCAACAAAATACGGAACCCTACCTATGACGACTACGTCAGTCATCCTATTATGACTTCAGCAGGGTTTGTTTTGCTAATTCGGCAAAGCCTGGGGCGAGAGCTAAAACAAAAAAGTTGCGACCTTTACCTTTAAAGTTCTATCATGAATGTGATGCATTATAGGATTTTATAAGACGATAATACAGCATAGGATTATAATTTATAGGCCATCATAGGATTGTAGGATAGGAGGCCGGAGCGGAGGGAGGGAGAGATGGAGGGTGAGGACACCCTGGGAGCAACATAATCTAGGGTAACCTAGGAGCAGGGATGGGCAAAATACGTCCAAATACGTATCGAAATACAAATACAAAATACTTCGTCAAAAATGTATTTAATTACAAATCTAGTTACATTTCCAAAAAAGCATTTAAGTACAAGATACAAATACAACCAAATGTATTTGGCCTCCTCCAAATACTTTTCCAAATACATTCCTCAAAATTTGCGTCAGCGACTTCAGGGCACCTGCAACGGGTTTCTGGGTATCTCATTTTAATTTTGCATAGCACACTAGGCAGTTAGTGTGCGAGGCTCTAGAAACGTAATAAAAATATAATCGCAAATAAAATGTAATCAGCTTGGACGTAATAGGTGAAAAAAGTAAAGAGCTTCAAGCAACTTTTTTGTGGATTACATTTTGGTATAGACCAACCAAGAACCGAGAAGACCAAGACGCGCAGCACTAGAGAATTTTTTTATTGTTCCAACTCGCGCCAGTTACGAAAATCTGGACGACCCGCGCATTTAGAATGCTCCAGGCAAAAATATGGATGGAAATCAGGCTGGAAAGCATCCCAAGTTGTCACAGGCACTTATTTAGCCAGTTTGCCTGTGAACGTCGATTTCGTCACTATTCTTGCCCTGGACTAGCACCGTAATCACAAAGTCACTAAACGCTTGTGCTTGATTCAGAGACACTGCATTCGGTGCAGAGCGTAGTTTTCTTCCTGCTCTGGACAGTGACAATAAATTTGAGGGATGTATTTTCGCCCACAAAATTGTATTTAATTACAATTGTATTTGAAATAGCCACGTTTTAGTATTTAAATACAGACGTCAAATACATTACCCAATTTGTAATTAAATACAAATGCAAAATACACAAAGTATTTGAAATACGTATTTCAAATACTTGTATTTGAAATACTGCCCATCCCTGCCTAGGAGGTGTTACTAGGAGGGGGCAAAGATGGGAGGAGAAAAAGAAGAGGAACGGAGGAGAGAGTCGGGATGAGAAAACTGGTGTGTCACGTGACGTATATTTTTCCGCTAAATTTAGCGGGTAAGCTGAATAGTTGTATATGTCACGTTCCGTCGTAACGTGACGTCGATTTCCCCCACTAAATTTAGTGGGAAACTCGATTGGTGTCCGGGTCCCAAGACGTCAATTTTTCTGCTAAATTTAACGGGTAAGCTGAATAGTTGTACAGGTCACGTCACGTCAGTTTCGCACCAAATGTAGCCGGGATATTGAATTGATGTTTTGGCCACAAGACGTGCATTTTTCCTCTAACTTTTGCGGGGAGGCTAAGTTAACGTATAGGTCACATGCCGTC